TTTTCATTGCATCAGAAGGGCATTATACTTGTAATATAAGCCTTATGAACACATCAGTCATCTTAACCAATGTATTAAAGTCATCGAAGTAGTTGTCTGGGTTACTAGGTTCCACTAACTCTGCTTCAGCAACAAATGCTAAATGCTTCCTGGGCTGTAAATTAAAACTATTTGTTGTTAATTAAGACCATCTGTAAGCTGAAAAGGACTTGGGGATGAAAGGAGTGGTAAGGTGAAAACTCGTGGTGTCTAGATACTGGAGTCATTGATCCCTGGAGTAAATTGTTTCGTGAATTTTTTATTTATTTATTTATTTTTTTTTTTGGCTAGGCATGTGTTTCCTAGGTTTGAATTAGCACATGACTTGTTTCCTCTGTGGGTCACCCATTAACTGACTAACAGGTGATTTAATGATGTATTTAGAAACCACCTAGAAAACAAGACCACACTCCCTGGTGTATATGTGACTTAACAGAACTTCTAGCAATAGATCTTGATTATTAAAACAAGGTTTCTAGCTGGCGCCACGGCTCACTAGGCTAATCCTCCACCTAGCAGCACCAGCACATCGGGTTCTAGTCCTCGTTGGGGCGCCAGATTCTGTCCTGGTTGCCCCTCTTCCAGGCCAGCTCTCTGCTGTGGCCAGGGAGTGCAGTGGAGGATGGCCCAAGTGCTTGGGCCCTGCACCCCATGGGAGACCAGGAGAAGCACCTGGCTCCTGCCATCGGATCAGCGCGGTGCGCCGGCCGCAGTGTGCCAGCCGAGGCAGCCATTGGATGGTGAACCAACGGCAAAAGGAAGACCTTTCTCTCTGACAGGCAGAGTGGACAGTGAGAGAGAGAAACACACACACACACACACACACACACACAAGGTTTCTATTATTTCAGAGGTGGGACAAAGAAGGTGAAAGTGAAATGATATGCCACTCCAGAAAGCACCAGATAGATGGCATTTTGGGAAACAAAGACAGCATTTAAGGTAGTAGGCAAGAAATGTTGGCAAAGTTAAAATAGTTTCACAATACAGCAAAAATGATTGGACTCCAATACACGTGACTCTAATACATACTACAGGTTTCTAGAGTACAAGAAGACACCTTAAAGATTGTATAACCCCATCTTTTAACTTTATAGTTAAAACTGGGGGCTGGTGCTGTGGTGTAGAAAATAAAGCCTCCACTTACAGTGCCGGCATCCCCTATGGTTGCAGTTTGAGTCCCGGCTGCTCCAGCTCCCTGCTTCTGTACCTGGGAAAGCAGCGGAGGATGGCCCGAGTTCTGGGGCCCCTGTACCCACATGGGAGACCTGGAAGAGACTCCTGGCTTTGGCCTAGCCCAGCTCTGGCCATTGTGGCCATTTGGGGAGATGGAAGATTCTGTCTCCCCGCCCCCATTCCTCTCTGTATTTCTGCCTTTCAAATAAATAAATAGATCTTAAAACAATTCATAAGTAAAATACTAAAAAATACCCAAACTGAAAACAAGCAAGCAAAAACACTGAGTTCTCAAAAGTTGTTCTTTTCTTTTGTCTGTGTATTCTTCTGTTGATAGGCTGGTAGGATGGATACTAAAATAATGAACAAGTAATTCAACAAATAGACATTATGTAGTATTCTGGAAGAAAGACTCTCCATTCAAATTAACAAATTAACTTTAGGGAAACCAAATAAGTACTCTCAAGGAATTATTTATTATACCCCACCTTGTTTCACAGAGAATTACACTTTAATATGGGATAAAAAGATGTGTACGTGATTGCAGTAACTCATTGAATTTAATGGAGCTGCCAAACTGCTGGACAAACGAGTGACATGTATTACCTCATTAAAATCTTCCAGCGACCTTCTAAGGTGCTGTTATTGTTGCTGTCCTTATCTTATAGCTTAGAAAACAGGTACCGAGAGGCTCAATCACTAGCTCAAGTGGCAACAGCAGAGTGTGAGCCCAGGCCTTTCTATGTGCATGGAATCTGTTGATAACTGTGACAACACTGTGTCCCATGCTATGCAAGACAAAATACTAATACACTGTAAGAAAGATGGATTTATATGGGGAATTCAAATGGAGAAGATCACTCAGGCCAGGGTAGAGGGCAGGCTTGAAAGTATGTCTACTGGAGATGGTAGCCTAGTGATGGGCTTTTGAAGAATGGTGGATTTTAGACAGATTTTTAATTAGATGTATATTCCTAAAGTTTAGAGAAGCCATGTTATTCTTTCAGCGATGATAGAATCGATTCAAGAAAAGTTGATTTAAAGATTGCCATCAAACCATTCCTTTATGAGTATATATTCTGTGCACTAGTATAGTGGAAATTTGCCAATCTTGGCTTGAAAATAACCCTTAGGGCACCTTTCTTGTTTGTTCATATAATTTTTATTTCTCTTTTTACTGCCCTGGTTGAAGAGTTATACCCTTGTAAATTTTGCATCTGAGAAGTTCCATCTGGGTGAACCCTAATCCAAACTACATTGAGCTCTGAAAGAGAACTTTACAGAATACCTCATGTATAAGATGTTCTATCCATCTCCCTTCATGGATAAATTGCTCTAGCTTTGTATTTCCTTACTTGTACCATTTATTTTAGCAGTCATATACCTCAGCACTTTTTGTAATGTGTACGTCACATTAGAAATGGTTTTATACAAGTATTTCTTTTCTGGTCACCTTTGAAAGACAGCTAAGTACTGCTACTAAGATGCTGACATAATATCTATCATTTTTATGAAATAGAGCATGTTGTAACTTTTGTCTCTTGTACATAAGTGATTCAGGTCACACCCAACGAGTGTAGTTGCTAGTTACAATTTTTCTTTATCAGAGTTTAAATTTACATATTTACAAACTATTTAGAATCCTTTATTTCTTTTTCAGTAATGTTTCTATACAAGTTAAAACTAAATTACTATTTTTCCCAGAAACTTTTCCTTCTAAACTATTTTTCTAGAGGAGCAAAAAGATTATTGCAGTCTCTTCTGGGTCTCCCACGTGGGTGCAGGGGCCCAAGGACTTGGGCCATCTTCCACTGCTTTCCCACACCATAGCAGAGAGCTGGATTGGAGGTGGAGCAGCCAGGACTCGAACCAGTGCCCATATGGGATGCTGGCACTACAGGCAGCGGCTTTACCCACTATGCCACACAGCGCTGGCCCCTACCCATTAAGGTTTTTTGTAATGCAGTAAGGTTTGAATGGAGTAGCTCCCAGAAATTGTGTGGGATTATGGATTGACCATTGAGAACAGGTTTGTATGGAATAGATCAATAAGAAATTGGAATATATTTGAAGCTAAGAAGTATACTATTGCAGTCAGTTAACCAAGTTGGGTACTTTGTCAAGTGCATTGCTATGTTTGGTGGAAGTATTAGCTGTGTTCAGCTAAGCATGAAATTATCAGTAGCTGGAAAAGAGTGACAGAGTTGTACCTATCAGTGGTATTAACTCAGATTCATTGTGTACTGTAACCCCTGGGGGCTTATAATTACCCACTACAAAACATTATAACATGATTAATGGAGCCTCATTTACTATATAGTAATGTCAGATGGCTCATTTATTAGTCATGCCTCACAATATCTTTGTGAAGTGGATCAATATTATTATAATCATTACTTTTCTCCTAGTAAGATCATTAAATTGCATCTTAAGATGATAAATCATACTATGAAAGGTCACACACATAGCTTATATTATAGTTGGGTTTTTGAATCAGTTTCCCCATGCTCATTCAATGAGATTCCTCAAGCAAATGGAATTAAATATTTTTACAATAGGAAAAGGGAAAAAACACAATACCATTTTTCAGTGCCTCCTTCCTGACATTCAAAAGGTAAGATAATAGCCGGCGCCGCGGCTCACTAGGCTAATCCTCCGCCTAGCGGCGCCGGCACACCGGGTTCTAGTCCCGGTCGGGGCGCCGGATTCTGTCCCGGTTGCCCCTCTTCCAGGCCAGCCCTCTGCTGTGGCCAGGGAGTGCAGTGGAGGATGGCCCAGGTGCTTGGGCCCTGCACCCCATGGGAGACCAGGAAAAGCACCTGGCTCCTGGCTCCTGCCACCGGATCAGCGCGGTGCGCCGGCCGCAGCGCGCTGGCCGCGGCGGCCATTGGAGGGTGAACCAACGGCAAAGGAAGACCTTTCTCTCTGTCTCTCTCTCTCTCACTGTCCACTCTGCCTGTCCAAAAAAAAAAAAAAAAAAAAAAAAAAAAAAAAAAAAAGGTAAGATAATTTTGTACTAGTTAAAACCAGAATGAAAATGGCAACTAAGGTACTATGGCAGGAAACCCAAGGATAATTAACTTGAAGGGACAAAGAAGAAGAAAGAGAACACAAATTCAATAACCTCAATATAAAATGGAAACTATAAGTACTTCATTTACTCACTAAATTATAAGAGTGATTATATTTTCATTAGGCAGCACATTCTTCTGTCCTGCTAAGTGAGTTGGAATGCTATACAAATGAATTAGCATTAAAGCTCTATGCCTCTCAAAGTAATAAAACCGACCCCAGATCATTGAATTCATAAGTAGCTGAGCCTTCTTTGGAAGGAAGAGAGAAGGAGAAATCTGTAAGTACCCCCAAAATGTTGTTGCTAACATTTGGTCTACTTCCAGCATTTCAGACGTCCGCTTTCTACTCTACTCTAGATAGCAATTATCACTTTTTAATGTGGCTTTGAGATTTTAGAATAGAATCCTTGTGAAGTGCATCAAACATTCTTGAACTGTTTTCAGAACATTCTTTTCATAGAGCCATGGAGCCAGCTGCTCCTCTGCCTTCATCAGTTAGTGTTTTGTCATTGATGCTTTTGAGAATGTGGGTGTGATGAAGGAGCATCTGAGACATTGATCCACTTGCAGCTATTTTAAGATGATTTTAGCAAAACTAGACACTGATTTATAATGCACTGTTCCTTTAGTCTAGCCCAAATCATATGATTTGTCACAGAGGTTACTGGATGTAACTGCAGAACAATTGAATGGATTTTTTTTTTTTTTTTTTTTTGGCTGCAGACTTCATTTTTATTGTGGCCCGAGGCCCTGGTTAAAAGGCCTGGGAGGGAGGGAGGGAGGGAGGGAGCCGGGGCTCTGCCTCCCGGCACAGCTCAGGTCAGCGGGCCGCAGCTGCAGTAGAGCTGGGATAAGGTCCTGCTCAGAACAGGCCCCAGGTTCCTCTGCAGACGCCTGCACTTGACGGTGCTGAGCAACATCTCCTGCTCCTCGGGGCTGCCGCAGGCATCATAGGCGGCCAAGAGGCTGGACGGGGTGCTGTATCGATCCACCAGCGCCGCTGCCTTCTCCCCACTCACTCCACGCACCTGCATCAGCTGCCGCGCAAAAACCTCTCGCACGGACTGGGCCTTGTTCTTGATGGCTCCCGCGTTGAAGTCACTGAAGGTGAGGAGTGAGCACAGGGGGTTCGGGCTGGGCCTGGTCTCAGATCCCGGGTCCCCGGGGGGCTCCCAGGGGCGGCTGCGTAGGGTGTGGCCCTGATAGAGACTCTGCAGGCCCCGAGTCATGAGGGCCAGGTAGGCCGCCGACTCCTTGATATCCGCCGTGCGCTTCACGAAGAAGCCGTCGATGACCTGGGTGTTGGTGACGGCCTCAGCAGCGTGCTCTCTGGGAGGCTGAGGTTCTGGGCCGGGCCGTGCTCCTCCACCAGGTACACTCGGCGCCCCAGGCCGCAGCGCTTTAGCCGGAACTTCTGCTCCCGGAAGCGGCCGTCCACGATGCTGCTGCACAGGTCGTCCAGCCGCTTGCGCTCCACGATGTGGTCCAGCACCAGCTCCCCTGGCCTTGCTGGGTCCCTGGGCTGGGTCTCCTGGGCCACCCACACAAAGTCCCCGACGTGCAGCTTGCGCACCGTGTGGCTCACACGCAGCCGCTGGAGTTCTCGGAGTAGCTCGGGCCTGTGCCCCGCCCCCCTGGTCTCACCAACGTCCACACACAACAGCACCCTGTACTCCCCGGGCCCCAGCTCCAGCGCTGCCTGCTGGACACTCCCCGCGCTGGCGCCAAGCTCAGCCGGGGCCGCCCCTGGCACTGCCGACTCCTCCCCGGGAGGCTGCTCAGGCCCCACGCCCGCGTCCACCGAGCGCGGTCCTGATTCAGCCAGCTTCTGGGCCAGCTCCAGGCCCTCCGCGGTGAGCGAGTACCTGGCTGGCTGGTGCGCCCTGAGCACCAGGTTCTTGTGGAGCAGGGAGCGGAGCGCTGGCCAGGACCGCGAGCTCCCGGGAGTGACCCTGGCGGCCATCTGAGCGCACCGCTGCAGCAGCTCCTCCTTGGTCAGGAAGCCTCGCCCTCGGGGTTCAGGTGCTCCTGGTACAGCAGCAGCAGCACCGCCCGGGCCCCTGAGTGCCGAGCCGGCCAGTAGCCACCGGAGCCGCCGGCCTGGGGCTGCGCGGAGGCTGCCACGGGAGGGGCCTGGGCCTGGGCGGGCGGCCCTTCGCCGGGGGCACTCCTCGCTCCGGACGGTGAGCCCTGGCCATCGCCATCGCCATCGCCGCCGCCGCCGGACGCTCGGTGCTGGCGCAGCCGCTCCTCCAGCATCCTGCAGAGCCCGTCTCCGAAGTGCTGCAGGATCTTAGCTTCTTTCCCGCTGCGCAGGGGCAGTGGGTACCGCCGGAGGGAGCGCAGGGCCTTCTGAAACACGAAGCGCGTGCGGCGCCCCCTGCTGGCCGCCTCGTCGCGCCACTCGGTGAGCCAGCGCACGAAGAGCGGGTTCGGGCACTCGGGCAGCGGGCGCTTCCGGCCCAGGCGGACCGGCGCCGCCATGAGCCCCGGCGCCCGCGGGGCCGGGCCGCCGCCAGGTCTGTGGCTGGATTCGAACACCTGGCCGGGGTAGGGACTGAGGGTGGGAACCTCTGCAGTCACGTGGCCCAGCCCGACAGGCGCCTCCCGCCGCCCTCCCCGCCCCCGCGCGGCCCTCAGTGGCCAGAGCCCAGCGCAGCCGCGGCCACCTCTCGCCTCGGTGTCCCCGCCCGGTCGCGGTCGGCTTTTCTGGCGCCGGATTTTTTTCTTTTTTGTAGTAAAAGAGAATGCAGCCTTACATCAGGACATTATTATGGGGCTAAGACTCTTGGTATCTTTCTTGGGAGTTACACAAGTGCATTACAAGGCTGAAACATTATTAGGATAATTCAGTCTGAAAATCTATCTGTTGAAGACAAAGGCTTGTTTTTTTTTACTCTATACGTTCAAAAGGCAAATCAATATTTCAGCCAGAATTTACAGAAATGTTCCTTAGCATCAACATTTTCGGATTCAGTATCTAAAGTCATCCTGTAACTTTTATTGAATGATACTGTAATATTTAACTGCATCACTTATTTTTTCATCATGGCATGTTATAAAATCAGTTCATATAATGAATTTGGATTATATTGTGACAAAGACTTGGAGGGAAAAACTGTCAGCATAGATTATGATATGTCCTCACGTTTATGGTGTGGCTTTATTGATAAAGTATCGATGTTTTGTGCTTCTGATTTGAAGGTACATTTTTCTCTTATTAACTTACTCTGTAAATTGTATACAGAACTGGATGATTTGTGAAATTAACAGCAATCATAATCATAATCAGATTTTTTGGTGACATCTAGGCTAACCCAAGAAACTGAGATAATAACTTCAAAATTCTTTGACATTGCCCAGTGCCAAAGAATTATCGTGTGTTGAATATTATACATACTGTATATAGCTAAGTTCTACCTCAGATGCTGTTTATACTTTAACCGGTTTAGTTTCATAACACAAGCATTTTATGTAAGAATTTTATTTTCCTATTCTGCACATTAGGAAACAAGGTTAGAAAGTTTCTAATTTCCTAAGATCACACCTTTAGTAACTGGGAAGGCTTGGGTTTAAATCAGGTCTGTCTGATGTCCAAGGCCATGCTTTTCTGTTGTTCTGGGTTGCATCTTAACATTAAAGAAACATCTCTTTGAATACATAACATGAATAACTGCATTTATAAAATTCTATTTAGTGGCCGGCGCCGCGGCTCACTAGGCTAATCCTTCACCTTGTGGCGCCGGCACACCGGGTTCTAGTCCTGGTCGGGGCTCCGGATTCTGTCCTGGTTGCCCCTCTTCCAGGCCAGCTCTCTGCTGTGGCCAGGGAGTGCAGTGGAGGATGGCCCAAGTGCTTGGGCCCTGCACCCCATAGGAGACCAGGATAAGTACCTGGCTCCTGCCATCGGATCAGCGCGGTGCACTGGCCACAGCGTGCCAGCTGCGGCAGCCATTGGAGGGTGAACCAACGGCAAAAGGAAGACCTTTCTCTCTGTCCACTCTGCCTGTCAAAAAAAAAATTATATTTAGTGTGGATGATCAGGAAGGAATTCATAGTAGTCAAAAAATGATAAAGTAAGCATAGCTACAGTGTTCATCTTTTATCACATCCCTTACCTCATGTCATGTAAAAAGAACCCTGCCTTCCTGCAGTTGTCTTTCCTGGATTTCTCTCTGATATTTTGCCCTCTTTGATATATAATATCATACACTACCTACAAGAATGTGGTGTAGTTTGAGGTTAGTGTAAGCTGAGCTGAGGAGTCATGAAAATCATACATGTAAAATGGGGAATGTGAACTAAATAATAACTACATCTTAGAACTTCTACAATATAGAATTCTAAAATATATAGATTAGTTTGTCACAAAAAATGAGGCTCAAGTAGGGGTATTCAGCTCTAGGATACTAGAATGTATTCAGTGTGGAATAACAGTAGTTATGTGTCACAATTATATTGAGTAACTTTGGCCATGAATACTTTTACTTCAGTTTTTAGCAACAGTTTTGGATTTCTGTTTGGGTAATAATATTTCTATACTACCTAACTCCATTTCTCCTCTGTGTCAGTGATTTAAGGAATCTATTTGAATGTTCTTTTTTCCATTAATTTTTTTTAATAACTGCTTTTGAAGTAGGACCTTTGGATTGATATCCTGACCTTGGCATAAATTATCTGCTTTTTAACAATTTAAATAGGCTTCATATGACTCTTAACATATCTTTGATAAATTTTATATCATCTTCTGACACGCAAAGATACCCTAACTAAGGCAACACTAGGAGTATGACATGTCATGAGGTAGAAGAGAGAAAAATAACTGAAAATGTTATACACTATACTATTAATGGTACAGTCATATATTGTATTACATCATTGAAAAAGGACCTTAGAAAACACAGCCCTGTGTGTATGAAATCAGATAGGGATTTCACCTTGATGGTATGGCTTTAATGATCTTGATGCTGAAAGGACAGTTGATCTCTATGATTCAGTGATTCTGTATTTGCAACTTATCTACTGGCAACCTTTCATTCTAACCCTCAAGTGAGTATCATGGCATGGTCACAGTCATGTGTAGAGTGACAAAATTTGTGTTGGCCAATACTCCAATAAGTGATGCTCTGCCTTCTTGGTTCAACTCTATTAATGTAAACAAGTGTCTCTTTCCCAGTCTGTTCAGTGCCATTGCTCTTTAAAATGACCCCCAAACATAGTGCTGAAGTGCCGTCAACCCCTCCTTAGTGTGAGAAGGCAGAGATGTACCTTACCAGAGAAGTTACATGTGATAGATAAGCTTTGCATAGGCCTGAGTTAACTGCTGCTGGTGAGCTCAGTGTTCTTGAATCAGCAAAATATACTACTTAAGGTGTCTAAACAGAACTTGCATAATGCAAGGTTATCTATTAAATGATTGGTGAAAATACCACCCAAAGGCTTACAGGAATTTAACCCTGTATTTCATCTCAGAACAATAGTTCAGAACTTGCAAATTCATGTTTGTACCATCTTTTTATAAACCACACTTGTGCAGATAACAAGGCAAAATTGTGGTTAAAGTCACAACAAAATGCCTCAATCGGGAAGGCCTTTCAAATTTAGCTTTTTAGGAATCCAGTTTTCCTTAGGGAAGGCTAGGGAAACCTCTCCCAACCTTCAAGGTATTCTATATTTTTTCCAGATGTCTCTACTGGAATTTTTCCTGAGGTATTAAAATGTCTGTTGTGTGTTTTCATTCATTCTCACTTCCCAATTTAATACTACCTTAGACCTATACTGTAAATTAATTTTACAACAATGATCATTGTAGTCAGTCTTGCACTTGGGCTTTTAAGGAGACAGTTTGTTTAAAGAATGATGCATGTTACCCCAAGGCTGTTCATAAATCAGCAAAGATGAAACACATTTGCCTCACTTGACCACTGCACTGCCAGGGAACCCATGGTCATGCCAGAAACTTAGTGCACCCTGCCTGTCAAGGGAGGGTGGTCCTTGTATATTTTGCTTCTGGATCTGGAGAGTGCTATAGCATATTTTCAGTTGCAGAACAAGCCATCATAAAATTCACTTTTGCCTGCTCTAATAGCTAAGAAAGAAGGGAAACACTGAGACTTTTCCTTGAGATTAATAGATTACCCTTGGTTAATATTGAACATAGTATAGCTGAAAATGTTATATATGAATTAAATGATTCTTCTCAAAATTTCTTCTATTTAGTAAGGACAAGTCAATATTAAATATTTACTGAGAACTACTCGATATAGATTATTTTCAGCAGCTGTTGTCAGATAGCTGTTGAAGTGACTATGTAATTGTAGACTAACCTTCGTGAGAGCTGACTGCCATGATTCTCAAAGTGTGGGTCCAAGGCCACCTGCATCATGATCAGCTGGAGAATCATGAATAGTTCAGACTTCCCAGAGGCTCGCTGCAGGCTGATTAGATCAGATTTTCTGGAAGCGTGGGTCAAATATCTGTATTTTAAAAATACTCCAGTTACACGACACTCTGACTCATTTTTCTACTGAATTGGTGGAAGCATGAATTTCTAACATATTTTATAACTTTATTTTCATTTTTTGGCTGAGATTTAGTTCTTTTAGTCTCTAAGAAGTACAGATGAAATAAGTAAACCTAGTATGTGAAAATCTATGCAAACTCAAGGATGAGGTTTTTAGATAAGGTAAGTGATATTTAAACATACTTGTAAGCTTTGACATGTATGAGTAGTCTTGTTTCTTTCAATGCAGTCACTGAAGAGACCTCAGTATATGATTCTCTAAATGACCCAGAAAGATTCCACACATATTTTAGGGGTCAATTCCAATCATTCCTTTTTTTATATTTCATGACCACTACTCTTTACATTTTATTTATTTGAGAAGTAGAGTTAAAGAGAGGGAGAGACAGAGAGGTCTTAGAACATCCATTGGTTCACTTTCTTTTTTTTTAACTTTTATTTAATGAATATAAATTTCCAAAGTACAGCTTATGGATTACAATGGCTTCCCCCCCATAACTTCCCTCCCACCCGCAAACCTCCCCTTTCTCTCTCCCTCCCCGCTTCCATTCACATCAAGATTCATTTTTGATTCTCTTTATATACAGAAGATCAGTTTAGCATATATTAAGTAAAGATTTCAACAGTTTGTACCCACATAGAAACACAAAGTGAAAAATACTGTTTGAGTACTAGTTATAGCATTAAATCACAATGTACAGCACATTAAGTACAGAGATCCTACATGAGGAGTAAGTGCATTGGTTCACTTTCTAAATGGTCTCAATGGCCAGAGCTAGGCCTATCCAGAGCCAGGAGCTTTTTCCCAGTCTCCCACATGGGTGAAGGGGCCCAAGCACTTAGGCCATCTTCCACTGCTTTCCTAGGTCATTAGCAGGGGTTGGAAGTAGAGCAGATAGGACTAGAACTGGTGCCCTTATGGGATGCCAGCACTGCAGGTGGAGGTTAAACCTACTATGCCATAGCACGGGGCCCAACAGAGTTGTTCAAAACCTGAATGACATATCCCTAAGCCAATTTGGTCATTTTTCCCCCTTGTCTTCCTTTTCCTTTCTTTTTAAACAGAGGATATTATCTGTTTATTACTGTTATCACCTAGCCTGCAAAAACTGTGATTATTTATAAAAGGCATATGTATTCTTTTTTTTTTAGTAAATT